TTTAAATAGGAGAAAAATATGTGTGTATTAAAAATGTATTTTTTTTTTTTTTTAAGTTTCTTTGGAAAGAAATTAAATCTGGTTACAAAGTTTATCAAAAATAGTTTTGAGCTGCAGCTCCTTAGCCAATTCAATGTGATCGTGTTGCTATTTTGTATTTCGCAGTCATAGACATGCATATATGCATATGTCCATAAAATATATCCATATTTGTATAATTCCTTTAATTTTAGCCTTCATGCATAAAATGATGTTATACATTTCATGATATTGTGCGGCTGCGTTTCACATTTGTTTAGAAAATTATGTTTATTATAATGATAATGAAGTCAGATCTCAGTCAGATCTCAGCTTGATAATTTCTTATCAAGCGTACAAATCGATACCAAAATATTTGTCAACAACAACAGCAGCAGCAACAACAACAATAACAGCAACAATATGTTTGCACCTGCGGCTTTTGCACGCGTCGCTCGAACTGATGGAACTGAAACAAAAAGCTGTAAAAAATGTCAAGTTGAGGGTCTGTGCCCCTGGCAACAGTTGCATTAAGTAATTATGACTAATTGCCGATCGGACAACCTTTAAGATTAACAAGAAAATGACGAACGAGCAGAAGCAGAAGAAGAAGACCGGCATAAGCCTTACAGAGAGTAGCATAGAAAACATGGCTTGTATAATTGACAAAGCGTTGAATGAAATTGTTTTACAAGCAAATGCAAATGAAACTGCGGTACGACCGCAAAAAGCAATGAAGATGCCGACTAGCTGAATACCCTGTAAGCAGAGCGCAAGTCATGTGTGATTGCATCGACTGAGCTAGTATAGAATAGCTATATGATATAGAGGAGCTCTATGTGAACTCGAACTTAGATTCCCAACTGAATAATATTATTGTTAATATATCAAAATACTTTCATTATTGGGTAGGCCTTGCTCTGCTCAACGTCTGCTCATGCAGATCAAATCCAATTTCATATTCCACTGCGGACAGGGTATTCACACACATCATATACATGCATACATACATACATATGTATGCAGGTATCTATCAAACAGAAACAAACGAAATCTATTCAACAACACAACGTACGTTAAATAATAATAGCAACAATGGGGGGGGGCTGCAGCTAAACAAAACATCGAAAAACTGTGTAGACAAATATGAAAAATTAACGACTATAAAACCACAAGAGATCAAGAGAAAAAACAAAACAAATGAAGAAGAGGAAGAAGAAGAAGAAGAAGAAGCGCAAAACTTGCCAATTGAATTTGCATAGAAACATAAAATACAAGAGTTGCAAACCAAAGGAAATATCACCTTAGCTCGGACACCTGTGGGCGTTGGTTGCAAAGAATTAGCAAATCTATTTCACATGGAGCGAGCTTCGCAATGAATCGCATACGATTTAGCCAGCTTAACGCTGCTAGTTTGCAAATAGCTATTCTACTACTCATGGGTATTTCCCTTTGTGTAGTCGTTATGTTAGCTGAGCAGCTCAATAGCTCACACTGAAAATGTTTTGATACTGATTAGATGAGATAGGGTATTTAAGAGTCGAAAATGCTTTTAGTTTATTAGAAATAAACCGAAATTGTAGGCACGTACTGAGTGTAGATATATCTGCCATATCTCTGATTTTTGATTAGAAATTTCATCTCTCGAGCAGTTCGTTTATCACAGTTCCTGAGGGACCTTAAAATGCAGTTTTTCCTAGTGAACGGATATGGTAAGTCTAGACATTTGTTAATTCGAGGGTATACACAAGTCTATAGTTTGAATAGCGTTAAAATGGTTTGCATTCATACGGACAAACGGACGGATAGATGGACGGGCAGATGGACGAGCAGGCCGACGGATAGACGGACGGACAGACGGGCGGACAGACGGGCGGGCACACGGACGGGCAGAAGGTTGGGCAGACGGACGGACAGCAATACATGTATTGCAAAAACCTAATATAAGTCACTTATGTGAATGAGTATAAAAAATTATAGCATATAAAATACTGTTAGGCAAATCAGCCACAGTCGACTGCACAATACTCTATCGTAACCTGAAAACCATTAATTGTGTTCGATATGAATATGTTCGGCTTGAGCTGGTCCATTTGATGCATATGTTCATTTGATGAATATGTTCTCTTCTGCAATTTAACTTATTAAAGCCAAGAGCTTCGATTTGCCAACTCTCCAGTAGGCGTGGATACCTAACTTTCGTCTAATCTTAAAATGGTGAGACTTAAGTTTGTTTACCTGAATAATCATATATAAATCGAGTCTCTCTAGTGTCTAATAGGCGGTCTATTAAACCAGATATGTGTATGTATATGGATATAAAGAGAGACAGAGACAGAGACAGACAGAGAGAGACAGAGAGAGAGAGAGAGAGAGAGAGATAGCCAGAGAAAAAAAAAACACAAATTGATTAAATAATAATTTATTGGCACTAAATGTCGTCGTTGCTCATTTCGCGCGCTTGTAGACGTAGCCACCGTTGGAGGCGTAGATGGTCTCCTTGTTTTGGGACTTGGCCAGTGCCTTGGCGCCTGTGCTCTTTGGCTTCGCCTTGCCCTCTGGCTGCGGCTCGTCGGCGAAAGGCTGTGGATGCGGCTGATAGTTTTGGCCGGGTATGCCGAAGCTGGGCACGAATGGCTGACCCACGTTGACCAGGTGCTGGAAGTGATGTGCGGACTGTGGACCGCCAAAGCCAGTCTGTGGGCCAAAGCCGACGTTCTGCTGGAAGGGCAGCTGTATGGCGGCTGCAGGTAGTCCTTGCATGGTCAGGTAATCGGGTGCAAAGGTCGTTGGGCCGACTTGAAAGGCGCCGCCTTGGGGTCCCACTGGAAAGCCTCCACCCTGTGGGCCAATTGGAAAACCTCCGCCCTGTTGTCCAACTGGAAAGCCTCCGCCCTGTGGGCCAATTGGAAAACCTCCGCCCTGTTGTCCAGGCGTAAACTGAGGGCCTTGTTGCCCTCCTACAAACTGAGCGCCCTGTGGAAACTGGCCAGGCTGAGGACCAAGTGGAAACTGGCCAGGCTGAGGACCAACTGGAAACTGACCAGGCTGAGGACCAACTGGAAACTGGCCAGGCTGAGGACCAACTGGGAACTGGCCAGGCTGTTGGAATTGGGGTCCTTGTGCTCCATTGGCAAACCCATTGCCGAAGGCATCCGCGCCACCGCCGTTGAATCCAAAGTACGGCGGATAAATGGGCAGCGCGAAATTGGGCGGTGCACTGTGCGGCTGTGGGACATTGCTGCCGGTGGGTACTGAGTAGCCCGAGGGCAGCGTCAGACCCCCGCCGGGATAGTAGCTGCCATCGTTGGCCTTGCCAGGCTCCACAGGGGCTGGCTCGTCCGCCAGGGGCTGCGCGGCCGACGACTTGGGATCCGGTGGCAAATAGTTTTTGGACAGATGGCTAACATCGGCATTGGCCAGGTGCAGGACCAGCAGCAGCCCCAGCACCAGCAGCAGTGGCCACTTGGTCCATGGCATTGTAGGCATCCTTCTAGCGATTCGATCTCTGCGAGTTGTTGGCTGTCGTAGCGCTCTTCAAGCTCGAGCGGGCGGTGTGAACTGTGTGCGGCATTGGCCATGAAGTGGGCCACTTATAAATGGCAGCCAGAGTTCGCCGTTTACATTGTGATCTAGCAAAACTTACATAAATGTCGTATTTCGTGTCGATTCCATTTCACTTTCGTCTACTTTGCATCATAATGGCCATCTGGGCGATGCGAAGTTCCGTTGTGACTCCAAATCCGAATTTGAACTATAAAAATTAATTAGGCAGCCGGGCAAATTTGTTAAACTGTCACATCTGTTGACCCTACTCTTCCTTCTCCTTCCCACTCCACCTCCCCCTCCACATCACACCAACCGCCCCCCGCCTCCGCCGCCCGCCCTTCCTCCCCATGGCGCTTCGGCGATTTTGCATACAAAGACTACACGAAACACATTTCTCTCAACAGGTTTGCCTCTTGGCAATTAACAATCCAGTTCCAGTTTCGGCATCGACGCTTTCTATGATATAATAATTATAAATGTTACAATCCAGATATAAAAGAATCTTTTATCGACTCCTATTTATGTTCAATTCTCAATTCAATATTCACAATGCAAATTAGCCTCATAACATATCCCCCTCACACACACACAGATCCGAAAGCTGTTGGAGATAATGACATAATAGAACTCAACGGTCTGTAAATAAACAAACAAAAGCCGAATGACAAATGATGCCATTCGACGTTGTCGTGTTTCAACTGGACCGAGGAGATACCCTACATAATATTTAATTTTATTGAAGGGCTAATATATATATATATATATATTATGTGTACAGTATAGGGTATCTCAGATAGCCGTTTACTTCTTAGTTATTAAGTCAAACTGCTTGTACTGCGATATACCCTGTATTCTCTCATATAGAAGTCTCTCTTTACTTATTATTTGACTAAGAGATACCCTGTGTTTCACAATATCAGTGACTGTTTTGCATTTCAGCTGCGATTTGATTTATGAGATACCCTGTACTTAACATAAATAATATTTATGTAACCAACGGTCCTTAAAGTATTTAAACTATGAGATACCCTGTACTCCAATAAAAAGAAGTATTTTACATATATTTAAATTCTTTATGTTTTACTATTAAGTACCTTGTATTTGACATATAATATTTCAAGCTTTACTTGAAGAAAAGTCTATAAAGTATTTAATTTCTTTTTGACTATGAGATACCCAGTACCCAGTATATCAATCAGCTTTGAGATACCCTATACTTTCTGTATCTATATATATTGAGCTGCTCAAAACTCATTTTAATTCTGAGATATCCTTTACTTGAATTGCTAGGGAGTACATATCTTATCGAAAATCAGGTGCCTTTTGTGAGTCTTAGCTTTGAGATACCATGTAGTCTAAGTCTTACATTTTCCGTTTTGATTCCTTACCGTCCTCTATGTTTAGATCTTTTTGCAAAATATTGATTTACTATTTGCTCAATATTCGTAATACCCAACTTAGTATTAATTAATTATTTAATTAATGTCAGTAAGCTTTTTAAAAGTGTATTCACTAGCCGGTGACTAAGGTCTCTTACAACATTTGTATCCAGTATACAAAGAGCTTTGCGAGGAGCTTAAAAGCTTCATTAAAAGCTCACGGCGAGCTTATTGTAAGCTTGTTTAGATACCTTCTTAGCTTTGAAAGCTCTTCGAGACTTAAAGCATTAAGATCTGCCATGTGACAGAATACACTTAATAATGATTGATTGACTTTGATTGACTGACTGAATGAATGATTATTGATTTGCATCTCTGATTCGGAACAAAAGGGAATGTAATTAAATATCTAAAATAAAACCTCTCTGATTTGTGTTTCTTTTTTTTTTTTAAATATATTTATACACACAGGTTGGTAAAAAAAAAAAACAAATGAATAGAATTTATGGTGCAAAAAGCACATTATGGCTATTTACACTATTGTTGATTCGATTTGGTGAACAGTTTGCAACGTCTTACTTCTTCTTGTAGACATAGCCACCGTTGGCGGCGTACTGGGTGCCGACATCACCAGTCGAGTAGCTACCAGCGCTCGATCCAGTGCTGTAGGTCTGCTGGTAAGAGGGGGCAGAGTAGGAAACCGATGGTGCGGTGTAGGTCTGCTGGACAGCTGGGACGGAGTAGGTCTGCTGGTAGGCTGGGGCGGAGTAGGTCTGCTGGACAGCTGGGACGGAGTAGGTCTGCTGGTAGGCTGGGGCAGAGTAGGTCTGCTGGACAGCTGGGACAGAGTACGACTGTTGGTAGGATGGAACCGAGTAGGTCTGCTGAACAGCTGGGGCAGCGTAGCTCACAGCTGGAGCAGAGTAGGACTGTTGCACGGCCGGAGCGGTGTAGACCTGCTGCTGTACGGCCGGAGCGGTGTAAACCTGCTGCTGCACAGGGGGCAGGTATTCGTTTGTGGGTGGGCGGTAGTTGACAGCAGGAGCCACGTAGGAGGTGCTACCCGTCGAGTAGCTGCCACCACCGGACGAATAGCTCACCGATGGAGTTGAGTACGACTGTTGCACAGGGGGCAGATAATCATTGCTGGGCACCAAGTGGCTGACATCGGCTGCCGCGCAGGCGAACAGAGCGAACACAATCAGGAATTTCTGCAATGGACGAGAAGAAGACGTTTGATCCGATTAAGCCCAGCGCACAGAACACAATAACAATAACACTTGCACATTTAAAAAAATGTTATAGAAAATTATTATAGAAAAAAAATTATCAAAAAAATTAAAAAAAAAAAAAAACAAAAATTCAATGTGAACCAATTTGTGATCGTTTGGCTCCAACGGTTAAGGTGTACTAACCATGTTGAATGGATAGCTACGACTACGACTGTACTGGACGAGCTAGACGTTGAAACTGATGCTGATCCCTAAAGCATGCCGGCAATTTATAGCGAAAAAAGAGCATCACTCAACTTGCAGCACATTTGGAGAAGAGGCAGCAGCGGCAGCAGCAGCGGCAGCAGCAGCGGTAGCGGTAGAGGTAGAGGTAGAGGCGGTGGGAGCAGCTACGTCTGCAGCTTCCACTTAAAATATACACTAAGCGAAAAGAAAAAAACATAAAACCATAAATAAAGGCAAGCCAGAAAAAGCAAAAAACAAAAACAATAAGAGCGAGAGAAAAAAAAGCACACGCGTTAAACAAGTTTACGCATTTACAAAACTTTTCCGCAACCTTTATTTATTTTATTTTTTACTTTTTTTGGTGGACAACATTATGATCCAAAGATCTAGCCGGCTAATAGATAGATTTAAATACTAGTCTGTCAACTAATTTTCATACTCATTAGTGCCAGAAAAGGTGAGTGCGAAGAGAGCGACTGAGCGGGAGAGAGAGAGAGAGAGAGAGAAAGAGAGAGAGAGAGATGGCTAAGGGCGCGCACGAACGAATTCGTTTTGAAGGTCATGGGTTTTATGGCTTTATGCGAACTGGTCGAATCTGGCAGTCACTCTGACCGCATGGATTCAATTAAAGAAATTAATTGAATTTCAGTTTGACACAAAATTAACAGAAAATGAAAAATTGGAGAAAAACGAAAGGGTCAAACCATTTGCAGAGGTAAAGCAGACCAGCCCAGCGCCAGCTCCAGCCCCAGCTTAACAGATCTTGGCAAGATCAAAGCAGCCCGCATCCCGCATCCCCATGCCAAGAATGCAAAATGATGTGATTCAGCTTGGCTTGGCCCAGTTGCGTTGCCATTACGTAGCACTTTCTAAAAAAAAAAAGATGCCAAACGGCCTTGAGAACACTGAGCGGACACGCATAGTGATATGTGAGTAGAGCTCACAGCCTTACATAATATGTAGAGCGCATGGGAAGTCTTCGGCGAGTCGGCCCAGTGCGGGAGTCACGGATCCACTTTTACTTCGAGCATGGCCTGCAAAGGTTCATGAACCTGTAACAGGCACAGCTCACAACATTTCTTAATCACTACAGCCTGGAATTGTCTTCGTTTATTTAAGGGCAATCCAACATTGACGGATTGCAGTTGTATCCCAAGAGACAGGTCCAAATGAGTCAAGGATTGGCAAGCCTCCTATTTCCATTGAACAGGAAGTCAAACATGATATGTTGACATTGTAATTATTTATCAGAATGTACGAATAGGAGAAGTAGCGACAAATCGACTCATTAGTAAATTGCCTTGAAAGGTTACGAGCAACATTTACATATGCCAATTATTAACATATGTTACCTCGACAACATACATATATTATTAAGGCAAAGCAAGATTCTTTATATATTAATTTATACATTAAAGGCATAACATAACATTGGCAAACAAAAAAAAACTTTATATACATAAATATCATATCATAATATACCTATGCATACACATAATATGCATCGTTTACATCATATAAATTGTATTGATACCTCATATCATTACATGTACCATACACATAATATTAATCGTGTACATATTATACACATCATATACATCATATACATCATAAACATCATAAACATCATAAACACCATATACAACATATACATCATATACATCATAAACATCATATACATCATACACATCATATACAACATATACATCATATACATCATACACATCATATACATCATACACATCATATACATCATATACATCATATACATCATATACATCATATGCATCATATACATCATAAACATCATAAACATCATAAACA